TAAGCCCCGCCTATATCCGTGTAGTCTATGGCCTTGTCCTAATAATGTCAAGAAGAAAAATATAAACAGATATACATTGTATTTCATCCACATTCACCTTAGAATGACAACAAATATATTTGAATTTTAGACAATTACTGCAAACAAATATTCAAAAGTATTTCAGTACCGAGGGTGAAAAAACCTTTACTCCAGCGACATTTGCTCGGGTTTGTATATTGCCAAAGAATAATGTTAGAAAAAGTGTTATCTTTGATATATATATACATGTATATATGGTTGCTTTAATACAAACAAGCATATACAGGATTTCTTTGCAGTCGGGTCAAAGTAAAACAATCCTCAAACAAACAAAAATCTCCTCAGAGCAAGTGCCTTACATGTAGCCAGACCATTTAGAAATGGCAGTGTTTAAATAGAGCAAGGGACAGATACATTGTTTTGTCCAGGGTTGAAGACAGGAATTTGGGAGAGTATTAAAAATTGACTGTGATCATTAAATTAGGACGCCATACTGGGCTGGTGAACGTTATATGAGATTGTTTTCAATAACGCTATCTTCGGCGGCTTGAATCAATTTTAGGGAATATAATATGAAGAACCGGCCAGATTCGTAACATTTTAACTGGGATTGGAAATTTGCAGGGAGGTACGGTGGACATTGTTAACACAGAGAGACCCATCGGGGTAATCCATTCATTCTTCCTCTCCACCAAAATCTAAGATTAGTGCAGAGTGCCAAGTCTGACCAATCAATCATCTGTGGTTATTGACCTTCACAGTAGGCCTGTCCTCATTAGCTCGAGTTTGCCAAAATCCTGCTATTTTAACAGTCCCATTTGCAAATTAGCCAGTTAATTTGCGCCTCCATCAGCCCGCAGTTGCAATTAGGGGAATATTTGGTCAAGAAAATATCCTGAGAAATCTTGGTCTTAATTGTTTCCAAAATATCCGGCTATTTGGGAAATAGCAGGCTAATTTGCGCACCGTCCAATCTAGTTTGTGATGAGCGTATCGGTCTGGTGAAGACGATTTCGAGTTTAGGGATAATATCCCGAATCCGAAAATAGCGGGTTATTTGGCAAACTTGAGCTGATGAAGACAGGCCTACTGTAGTGTCATAGTCAAGAGCACTTTAATAACCACCTAATTCTTATACTGGTACTTTTTGTGCATGTCACACTCCACAGATAATAGCTTCATGGACAGGTGCACTTTATATAAAATGCAGGGCATCATAATTATGTACTCCTGATGAGAACAACCTAATAGGCAACTACAACATGTAACTAATATATTTCCCTTACCCAATATTTAGTGCACACTTTTCAGGGGTGATAGTGAGCACTAAATAAAAATAGGTTTTTTTTTCCCCTCTACCACGCCCCCTTGAGTAAAAAAAAGAAGAAGAAGAGAATATGCAGGAAAAAATGCCATCGAACAACATTCCCCCCTTTTTAGTAAAAAAATTGGGAAAAATAGGGAAGAATAGAGAAAATAAGGGGAAAATCTGGAAAAATCTGGAAAAATTGGGATAAAATTGGAAAGAAAAAAAAATCTAATAAAAAAAATTAAAAAAACAAAAATAATAAAAAATAGGGTAGAAGAAAAAAATCAGGGAAAAATCTGTAAAAATCGAGAAACCGATTTAAATCGGGTAATTATCAGGCCTGACTTTTCTATTGTGTAAAGCAAACGTACATAGACGTACATGTACTGTACATGCAGGTCAGGAAGCAGTTCATACTGGCAGTATCAAACTATTTGATTATTGGTAGGTTTTTGTAAAAGATAAAGATATATTTCAAGTTGCATTGAATGTGTCTAATTTGTGCACATTTTTTCTCTTAATAAATCTGAAGGAAAATGTGTACAGTTGGCAGTTATCAAGAAAGAACTTCTTTTTAGTATTTCACTTGGAGATTTGTTTTTGTTGGATATTATCTTGACCTTCATAAATTTTGGGTTGATTTTATGCCGTAGATCTACCCTGAAAATTCAAAATTGTTCATGAAGATGAAAATGATTTTTGTTAATGGGTTGGATTAAAAATGGATGGATATAAATTTATTAGTTGTATGAATAAAGCTACATTTGTTTGTGAAATACAGCCTTGTACTACATGAAGCTGTACACAAATTATCTTTTGAAGGGATTGGTCCCCCCCCCCCTCCTTCTAGTCAGTCCCCTTTAAAGATTACAGATATTTGCTTGGTTCCAATCCAATCCAAAGTTCTGGATATATAGCTAATGAGCTGGAAACACACAAGGAAAAGACACATTCAAGTACATTGTACTTGTACTTTGACCTGTAAATTTATCCTAATGATTATTCCTGGCAGAAATCATAGCACCATGGACATCACGAGACTGATTCAATATTTGATTTGAACAGTGACTTTTTGTTTATGCCTTATCAATGTGGTAGTAAATATTCTGCTGCATTCATGTGTTATTCAAATCTACTGTTCATGCATTTAATTACTTTTCATGTAAGCTTTATATCGGATGGCCCTAGTCGGTGTTGGTGTATTTTTATGACAATATTTAACTCTTTTTAATAACAAGAAAAAGGGATAACATTATTGTCGTTAAAAGACTGTTGGCTAAAAATTTAACACAATGAGAGACAGAGAAAATCAATTTTCCGAACTGGGTCACCCACAGTGTACATTAAATGTATACATGTGCAATCACTTCCAGCAAGTTCCAGGGATGTTTTTTTTAGCTGAAGAAGATCCATGTAGGAAGGAATATTATGGCCAATCAAAGATGGAAAATGTAAAAAAGTGAACAAAATGGTGAACCAGTCCATCAACAGCTTGTTGGTGGATGCTTTTACGCTGTTGTTTTTGAAAACTGGCATGATGTTTTTTCTTGCTTAAAGGGGAAGTCCACCCTAATACGAAGATTTAATAGCAAAATGAGAGGAACATTTAAGACCGGCTGAACTAGCAGAAGGGATTAGACAACCCAGCGAGGTCACTGACAGGTGGATATCTCATTAACTTAGCTCTCAATTAACATTAAAAAAAGAGGATTATGGGGGACCAACAGGCACCGATTGGGAAGTTTTCTATATAGAGGGAGCAAGTATATATAGCCACAAGTAGTACTGTGTGGTTTTTAAAAAAACTTGAAGTTGAGATTAATTAAACAAAAAATTGGCAACTCTATGATGTAGCTTGCGAGCTCCCTCCCATGTACTCTGTACTAAAAAAATCAGATAAAAAAAAAACAGAGAACACAAAAGACTTCATGAATGACTATCGTCAACGAACCAGAGTTAAGTCTTTTGTCAACTCTGTTTTTTGTTACGGCAGGCAGCCAGTGAAAAGGAATTTGTGAAAATTATGGAAATGCAAGCATACTCAAATAAACAGAACCTTATTATTCCTGGCTCATTTTTCCTGATTGAGATGTCATATGAAAGGGCAGAAGATGAACTTTCTAGAAATGTGATTTTCTCTTTGAAATTCAGATACTGTTCGCCAAATGACTTTTTGGTACCCTTTCTTCTGATTGTTTTTAAAGATGAAGTTGAGTTCTGGTCATGCGATTGCACTGTGAAAGAAACGGTGTGGAATCGACCAGAAAAGGTTGATCATCTAGCATATAAGAATTTGCGTGTATTGCAAGGTTCTGGAATCATCAAAATGATAATAAATTTGGCCAAGTCTTGGTAAAGTTACAAACACTGTACACAGAAAGATGTATATGGGACTACACGAACACGTGGCGTAAAAAACCTACCCCCGAATTTTACGATGTTACATGACATATTTAGAATATGAAGGCATTTGAAGAGCCATGCTTTTCAGGGAACATGTCTTATCTGATGTTCTTCCACACTTGCATAATAAGAATGATAAAGTTCACAAATTATTTTTCACCTCTTCCCAGAACTCAATCTTCTCTTTAATCACTCATGCATGAAATATGCATCAAATGAAAGAGGAGGATCTAAGCTTTACAAATAATTATTTATCATTTATTTATCATAATTGTGATTAAGTTATGATAAAACATTGATCAATAATTCTCTTTTTTTTTCTTTCTGGGACGCACTGTATAAACAATTGTACATGCATAAGAGAGAGAAAGAGAGAGAGAGAGAAAGAGAAAAAAAACAGACAATCAGAGAAAGAGAAAAAAAACAGACAATCAGAGACAGTGAAAATATACCACACACCCAATGAATCTCAAATGACAATCATCCATTCCTATAGCAGTTCCTGTGACAAAAATATATATATTCCTATTCAATTTTCAAGATGCATGTAATGACTTCTAGCTGTTTACACAAGTGTGCATCTCCCCGGGACATTGGTGTTATTACAGCCAGCATCTTTTGACATTCACCATGACCTTGAGCTGTGAATCTCACAGTAATTTCATCGATTCCAGATGAACAAGCACAATTCACAAATCAATAAAGATTGATGGTTACAGGGTACAAGGATGAATCACATGTAACAGCATTAAAGGTACTATGTCCCTTTTGCAGCCAACCTCAAATGCTGTAGAACTTTGCAGGAATTATGAATATTTAAATTATGCAAGGAAACCCGTTTACTTGCTAGACTTCACTGTCAGACACTATTGAGTGACTGACTGGCTTTTTTTCTTCTTTGGTAATAACATACATGAACAGAGTTGTAAAGGGTACATGAGCATTTGTCTACAACAATAACCCACTTCTTGTGATGGCCAAGATTAAACTGATTGAATCTTTGCGCAGCATAAAACGTATGACCATTCGGTACAATTGTCTGAAAATCAAGACTATTACTTTTGGGCTCTATAGCCCTAAAGTCGATTTGACAACTAATAGTCGTTATTTTCCCACTTGAAGACATTTTCAAGCCCCACCTTTTTTAGGGAAGTTCTAAATTAGTATTATCTTTCAAATGCAGTTGGAATTTAACTTTTTCATTTTTTTGGCCTGCAAATGGGACATAGAACCTTTAAATTAAATTTGACATGCATGCATCACGTATGTTACTGTACGCTCGCGTAATGTGCGCGTCCATTGCGTCTTATGACGTCATCCCCAAAGTAGGTCAAATCAGCGCGAACCGAGGAAAAATGTAAACAAAAGTTGTCACATGTTTGTCAACATACCCAATCAAAAATGACTAAACCAGACGTTAACCAAAAACATAATCCTGAAATGCATATTCATGTTTCCATTTATATAGTAACAATCATTACCAATCGCACCTATTTTTTTAATAGTACCTCTTTGATTAGATACCTTATTTTGCATAAAAATTGTTGAATAATATTTAAATTTTTGAACCTTCCAAAAATATGTGTTTTAAAAAAAAAACATAATTTTTACCACTTTGAGCTTTTGCATAGTGGGGAACGAGGACCTAAACTTGTCGTCGATTTCAATTTTTATCATCCTACCTTTTTTTGAACAACTGGACTTCTCCTTGATTTGGTGCTACTTTTAGGTAAATATTAAACATTTTTGGTTGGAAAATTGCCTTCGCCTGATCATGACGTCACCATTCAAGCATTGCAGTCGGTAAAGGTCGTAATTTGAATGGAAATGAATGTTTGAGAGTGTCTGATTTTAATGTGATCTTGATCAAAGTATGTTTGCCTTTCGAACTTACTGTAAAATACAATGTGCTGTTTGCCAAAAGCCGCACATGTTGCAATCACAGCGGTGCGGTGTACGCTCCACCGCCGTTTGCGTAGGCGCAGACTCCCAGTCCCACTTCGATGACTGAGACAACGTGGTCGGGGGTACGCGTATATACACAGTCACGTACACGAAACTAGTGTTGCTGAATCACACTTTTGACTTGATCGTGGTATATTTTGAACAAGGCACTTCAATTATTTTGTTAACATAAAATAATTAGTCGAATAGAATTAACCTAGACTTAGATCTATTGTAGTATTTTCATGACATTCTAGCCTAATCTAGGGCCTCTAAAGGCTCTATAACCAAAGTCTGTAGACTATTTAACTAGAAATGTTATTCATTGTTATCGTTATAATATAGGCCTATTAATAATAAGTATTTAATTTATTACTGCTAGTAAGTAGACCCTACTAGCGTTGGACCTATGATTATTACGTTGTATTATATATAAGGTCTATTCACCAGCATAGGATTTCATCTTGGGGGGCGGGGGCATCAGAGGGGGGGGGGGTTCCCCCTCCTTGTAAATTATTAGAGAAAGATGATGATTCATTGTACCGTTTTCAACCCTTAATCCTTGACTGAATTTCAAAATTGTTTCTTTGTCTGCTTTTTCTTCCTACGGATGTCCTCTTACTTTTTTTCTCTCCTCTCTCTCTCTCTCTCTCTCTCTCCCCAACTGCCCCCCCCCCCCCCTGGCTACGCGCCTGGTATATTACAGATACTGAGTAGAGGTCCAAGTGCCAAGACATCTGCTACAGTAAAGCCTTGACGGGATTAGAGCTACAGGACTTGAGCAAGGATCTCCAATGGAAATGCATGTACGGTACAGGTATGTTGTTATTTTATATTTATTTTCTCCCAAGAAGTGATTCCTAATAGCTTGTCAGTTATTACCTCCCTATGATCACACATCATATATAGAAATCTGCATTAACAAAGACAATTAACATCACAGATCTTATTCCAGCCATTGTTTTCTGTCATGGTTGATGTATTTATTCTTGTATTCTCTCACACTTCTCAATATCAACCAAACTTGCTGAAGTCTACCCGGTAATGCAAATAATGTGCACAAGTTATCCAGACATGAATATTGGTACATTCTTTGTGACCAGACGTAAATGTTTCTGATCTTTTTCATAAACAAATGTCTATAGCCTGATTAAATTGTATTGATACAAATAATAATAATGACAGTTAATGATTATTATAATGATAATAATAATGATACTAATGATAATGATAAGTTTGGGGATTTGTCTACTGATCCTAAATCCTACACACTGGCAGTAGTACATGAATCTCTACTGTAATGGATACTGGTATCTGGTATCTGATATTGCAGACTCCAATCATGACTTTATCAGACTATGTTTGATAAAAGCCTCAACATAATTCTCTACTGCATGTTTATTACAGAAATTAAAAAGGTGACCTACTTCAGTAAAGCCATTTGAATCAAAATTTTAAGAAAAATGCTACAAACACTTTCATTTAATTCTAAGTTTAATTATTCTTAGATTGCAAATAAAAAATAAAATAAAATAAAATGAATAAAAATAAAAAAAGACCCCACAAACTATGTATACATAGAATCCAGTGTGCATTGCTCTACTCTGAAATTAAGGGGTATTTGGAGTGCATTTAACTGAATTTATTGTAGTTTGAAGGGCTGCTTAGGATCCACTGATTTTTTACACATTGTATGTTGAGTTTGAGATCATCATTGTATCCCCTTAGATCTCTTGAAATGTTGTTGAGCTGGCAGTGAACCGATTCACCTCCTTGCTCACCCATCATCCCAAGGCTTGCTCCCCAGTCTCTGAACCAGGGGATGACATGAAACTGCAACAGATGCTGTTTGGGGGTCACACTCTCTGTGGGGAAGTTCTGACGGTAGAACGACATGTACTCTTTGATGTCTCTGTCTGTTGGTAAATAAACAATAGAAAAAAATAAAAATAGAGATCTGTAAATGTTATTTTCTAGTAAATTATTTTTGCATTTCAGTTTCATTTGATACTTTCTTGCCCTGTCACTCTTTATTTATTTCAAATGAAAATTACTTGCATATCATTTTTATGTTTTGCAGCTGACCTATATGATCATGATTTCTTGGACTCTTACCCAGCTTGTCGATGACTGAGTCGTCCAGGAATGTACCGGTGTTGATACCTCGGTGGCATGCCCCAAACAGCTTCAGCAACGTGTTGTATTTGGTGGCTATCTGTTCTGCCTCCTGGATGAGGTCCTGGTCGTTGGGGCAGAGTGACTGTACCGTCTTTGCTATTGTAGCAGTGATAACATCAGTGTTCTCGGGCTGTTGGAGCAAGGTACACAAAGAAAGATTCTAAGTTAAAGGATAGTGACATTTACTATTAGAATATAGTGGACATTAGGCAAGGTGCAGCGTAAAGAATTTATATTTTCTTGTATTAATCAAAAGAAAGACAATTTGAATTACTATGACTTGTGAAAATATAGTTGTGTATTTCAGGAATTTTCTTACTTTTTATGATAAACTCTACTCACCTGTAAACATTTATGTACATGGTTCCCCACAAATGAACGACCATGGTACGCCTGTCTGCTCACTCTCAACTGCTGTAGTGCTTCTTCTAGACCAACATTAGTTGGTCCAGAGTGAGCTAGCATTTCGGGTATTTTGCCTATTTCCTTCTCCTACAAAAAAAAAGAGATTTAATATGTTTAATTTTATATCAATTTTAGTTCAAAATGCATTTGGTACATCTATGCATGATTTAGGATTAAAACGTATGCAACTCATATTTACAATACTGCTGGTGTGACATCAAGATACTAACCAGTTTAGCTTTCTCTCTCTTCTTCTCTTCAGCCATTTCCAGGATGAGGGTGGGTGGTTCAGCTTCCGGGTAAAGTAGTGCAACCATCATGTGCTGTTCCATGAGGTCGTGAACTTCTTCCTCAGCTAGCTTCACTCTGGTCTGGAGATTCAGCTTCTTCAGCTGCTGTTTGAAGGCCTCCTTTGCTTCTAGTTGGTCTGTAGGAGTTCTTGCCAAGGAGTGGCCAATCTTTAGGTCCAGGGTGTGACATGCTTGGCAGAGTGAATTGAAGTGCTTCAGGAAGACCCCTAGGGAGATGTGGAGCCCAGGAGGACAGACCTGATAAATAGGAGAAAAGGGCTTATAATATCAGAGGTATTAACAACAATTTTCATTGCCATCATTGCACATGAAACTTCTAAATATTCTAAATGTTTGTCTTCCTGAACGGTTTAAAGTAGCTAAAACCTGGTAAGCATGAATGTCTGTGGTAAGATACAGATCCAATTAAGTACCCACCCCACCCCTGGTAGGGGTATATCTTGGCTACTGATTAAGAATTTGGCTATTGAAATCAATTTTTTTCTTAAATATCTTACCCTATTTATTGGAATATCAAAGAATGGGTCTCTGATCACGTTAACAGACTCCTTTGGGATGCCACAGGTTTTGAAATGGCTGAGGGATTCTTTGAGGGTCTGCAGGCTTCGCTGACGGGGGACAGTCATTGGTGGGTCAGCGAAGTCTTTCTTAGGCATCTCACAGTAGAGACAGCAATGACGGCCTGGTGAAGAAAAAAAATGGGGAAACAATTAAGTCAGAGATATGATTTTTTTTTTTTAATTACTATTTTTAATCAAAGTTATGTATATATAATGTTTATTAAAGCAAGGCTTACCATTGGGGCCAGTGAGTCCATACATGCGGGTCAAATATTCGTAGTCACCGAAGGCGAAGACTTTCATGGTTTTCCCTCTGTAAAGACAAAATATGAGATAGACACAATAAAAATTCACATACAAAGTAACTACATCCCCATTAGAAATCTTACTCATTATATAAATCGCTATATAAATCTCATGTATTATTATTATTGAAATTTTATAGGTTATCTTTTTATTTTGTATAAATATTAACATTTTATTCAACAGAATTAGAAATCACACCTCCATGACATGGACTCCAAGTCAGCAATCTGACATCTGATAGTCTCCAGAGAGACATCGAGGTTGAAGGTAGAGTCGGAGCCAGGGAACAACATGATGACTCGGGTGTTGTGGAGGCTATTGGGTCTGTTAACGTTGGCCACCTGTATCATCATTTTGAATGTTCCTCCCCCTTTGTCTCCTCCCACTTTCAGCCAGATTTCGCCTTCAGGGATGTGGTCCTCATGCCAGGTGAGCTCTCCAAGTCTGTAGATATGTAGAAAAAGGACATTATTGCATTATTCAAAGGGATATTTAATTTGATTTAAATGGGTTAAATTAATAAAATTATCTTACCAGAATAAAATCAAAATGCTTCTGAGGATAGGGAATAGATATCAATATCAGAAACACTATGGCCCAAATTCACAAAGGAGGTTTAAACCCCCTCCTGGTTTAAACCACCTCCTGGGTTTCTTCTGAACAAATCATATATTTCTTTAAGTATGCTGATGGACCATGCGCTCTTATTTTAGTGTGCTTAAAAAAACCTAGGAGAGGGTTTAAACCCCCTCTATGGTACCTCTCTTGTGAAATCAGGCCTATCATTTAATTTTTAAATTGGTGCATGTAGTAATCAGTTGTTAATGATATTTAAAATATCTTTTTTCTTTTGTCATGTTAATGTTTTGCTTTAATGGTTTTCTTTACATTATCACAGGTAGAGACATGAACTCACTGATCATACTCCTCTAGCAAGTCTTGGACAAGGGCACTGAGGCTGTTAACTGCGACTACTGGGGTCTCCTTGATTTCTATTGCGGTGTCGCTTGAACCCTGTTGAAGAGGCAACCACTCCCCGGTGATGTTATCCTTGATGGCATGGTCTTGCAGTTTCCTCACCTCCTTCTCATTACCTGTTGAGATTCTACGATCCTTTAGCCAGCTGTTAAGAAATATATTAGGTATTGTAATGTATTTTTATTGTATCTAATTACTTGAGCTAGAAATGAGGTGTAATTCCTGGGGTTGGGGTACTCATCTTATGAGGTGTAACTCTAAAGGGTCACTTTTTTGTAAGAAAAACCTAAGTATGGGGTAATGTTTTGTGCCAGAAAGCCCCCAAAACATGTGTAACGTCATTGTTAAGAATGATATTCTTGCTTGAAAATATCATTCGAGATGCAAAAGTGGTCTTTACAGAAAAATGAAACCCCTTTAATGGGTAACCTGTAGAGGTGTTGTGGATAAGTGGATAAGTCAAGGGACTTTGAACCACAAGGTCTGGGGTTCAAACCTTGTAGGATTCATTCCTTGAATGATGAGATCTGTATAAAGGCTCCTGGAGCTAAAGCAGGGGTAATAACATAAGTACTTTCAAAGTCTATAGAGACGTATCATGTGATGCAAATGTAGAGCAGATTGTTATTGTTATTATTGTTGTTATTATTACCCTTTCCTGCCAAAATGCCCCATCAACTTAGGTATGGGTATGAAGTCTGCAGATCTCCGTCTAAACCAAATCTGAGTACCCTCTTACATGAATGTCCATAACAAAGATTGTTCAACGCACCTCTTCAATCGCCTAAGCTTTCTCCAACTCAAGCTGAAAAAGCTTTTCAGCTCCATTATGTCCCTTGAAGGTATGTGGAGTGGTTGTGGGCCCAAGATATTCCCAGCTATCTCGTGTTGCTGCTGGGCATCAGCTGCCTCTCTCCCTCCCGAAACCTCTTGCCTGACATTATCAATGATGGACGATCTTTTTCGGAGGGTGGATGGTGAGCAGGTTTCACTGGATACTATGTTTCCAGGAATCTTCAAAGTTCTCATAGGCTGTAAGAATATGTTGATGACAAGTTACAGCTGAAGGTTCATTTTAAAGTTACAAAATATTATTCAAGGAAATAGTGTAAAAAATCTTTTAGAACACATTTACATGTATATCTAATGAGGAATCAACATATTGCAGGGGTGTATATCTAGATAATAGTTAAATTATATAAATCAAATGATATCTGTAGCTTTCTAGAAATCCATGTTTTGTCTTGTTATTTCTAATTTTTTTTTTTTTTTTGGGGGGGGGGGGGGTGGGGGTAAAAGGTTTTGTTTATATACGTACATGATATATGCACCATCGTGATTATTTTATTCGTTTGTTATACTGTGAACTAAAAAAATAAATGGCTAATTCTTTACAGTATGAAATTTAAATGTATGAAACTGAAATTATATATACATGTATAATATAATAAAAGATATAAAAGTAAACAAGACTGTTGCATTTACCTTTCCACGACCTGCTAATCCTATGCTGGCTGACAAACCGTCATGGGACTTGGCCATCTGACTTTTAAGGTAGTCAGAGGCTATCTGCTGGCGTTGTTGGGTGTTGAGGTCCACAAAGTTAGATTTAGCGTATGTATGGTCACAATTTGAGGTTTGACATGAATGGCCTGATGTTTTGGTGTAGTGCATGGATGTTTTACAAAGTGAACACTGAACATGAAGATTGTGTAGTAATGTGATGATGTATGTGGCTGGTGTGTGTGTTTGAGAATAATGAAACTGAAGGTCGCAAAGAGGACAGCTAACGGACACTTTGGCAAAGAGAGACGATATACAGTCTAGACAAAACAGGTGGTTACAAGGTGACTCTACAGGACACGACACAACAGACCTACAAACACTACACAAAAGGAACTGTAGTGAATCGTCAATGTGAAATGTGTCCTGATCGATATTGTATTTCTGATTGCCTTTTGTGGCTGATACTCCCAATTTAGAAAAGTGAGACTGAGGTGTTGTTGTTGCAGGGGGGCGGCCACCAACTTTTCTTTTCTTTGGTCTGCCTGGTGCTTGTGTTTGCTTAAAGTGTGTACATGTTTGACAGTCTGATGTTCTCTTGTGCGAGTCCCAGTTTTTCGGTGTCAAATTAGATGGTTTCTTGATTGTGAGTTGGCAATAGCATGTGCAACAAAATTTATTGGGGTGTATATCTGATGTGTCCTCAGAAATGTCAATGTTAAATTTCTGTAGAATTAATTGATGGTAGTCTGAAACCATATATGCATGCCCCTTCTTTCCCAATTCAGTCTCAACCCTCCTTCCACAAAATCTACACAACAATGACAAACAATTAATATGCTGTTCCATGCATATAGATGTGTGTACAGTACAGTATGAACGTATATATCATTTTCTTATACTCCCTCCCCCTTTCTTTCTCTCCTCCTCCATACCTGTCCTTTTGTATTCATTATTTCACTGTGAATTGTGCTGTATATTGTATGCATGGGTGTTGATCCGTTGCGTCGTGCTATTCATCAGGGGGGTATATGATCTTACTGTTTCGTGCCCCACTGGTGACTGGGGTGGCGCAGCGGTTCGACGCCGGTGCCAAGAGTTGCATTATTATCTATAGTAGTTTATTATTAGTAAGTGCAATTTTACCTTGTAATAATTAATTCTGTAATCCATTGCGCAATTTAGTTTTTAGCTACGAAGCATGGAATTAATGAACATTTATTGTTTACATGTTTGATTTGATTTGAATAAACCATTTATCTATCATCTATCTATCTATAAAACCCCCACACAAGGTCAAAACCAACAACACAAGATGATTGCCCAAAAAAAGGTAGGATGGCTAGAAATGAAAGAAAGTTTAAACAATACTAGTCAATTTTGATATAAAAGCAACACAAAGGCAAGCAAAATTGTGGATAGGTAGATATATTTTTTTAAGAAACCTCAAAAATACTGAAAATATTTACTGTGATATCTACGTGTATATGGGACCGACACACCCCTTTTGCCGCCGGCGAATTCAAAATTGATTGCCGGTGTTTTGATTTCTTGTTTTGAATGTCACCATTGTTTTGTAAGAAAGTATGTGTATCATATATTTGATTTTCATTGCAAGATGAGGTTGGCTACCTCTCTGGGGTTTCCCCAATGACCTAGATGTGTGAGTCATATTATTCATAGCGTCGGTAGCAACCGGTAGCAACAAGATCGACCTTGGCGTGGGTATTTAAATTTTAAAGATGAGTGAGCCCTCTCTCGGTCAATACAAGATACATTAGGTGAGCGCTGCGCGCATTTCATTCACATACGTGGCATACTGGTTTGAGAAACAACCCAAAAAGCTGGCAAGTTGCCAGCTCATCATCTTTTTCATCTCCATGATCCCGCTTTGTATTATTTGAACAATTCACAGGTGTTGTCCAATGAGCAGACAGGGTGTCTACATACAGTGTATTAATTTATCAGTTGGTTGCAAATGATTGGGGATATCCAGGATTTTGTTCTGAAGTATTTAAAACAAGGTGGGGCCAGTGGGGCCGGTGGGGCCGGTTGGGGCGAGGGGCAATAAGGTGAGGGAAACAAATTATCACATGTTTAGTTCTTATAGTTCGTCACTCAAAAAAAAACATCTAAATGAAGAAAAAAAAAGAGGAGGTTTTTGCAATTTGCAGGTTATTATTTGGTTTATGATTTGTCTGGTACCATCGATCCCTTCCTTTCCTCTTTCTTTTCTTCACCGAGTCACTCATATTACTGTTATGTTGTGAATGTTAGCTCATATTAAAGGCGAAGAGAGTTGTAACAATTCAATAATACAATAATTCAACTGAGGCGCATGCTGTTTAAATGTACATGTATTTCATGTTATCTAATAACCCTCCTGACAGTGGTGCATGAGAATTCATGTTACAGTGTCTATCATAGAAGATGAGTCTCACATCGAAAATCACATTTTATACCTCGCGATTCCTCAGATTCTTAACATTGGTACTCTCCACTTACATAGAAATTGCATGTACGCCCTCCGACTCGATCATTGGCCTCCAGTACCAGTACATCTTGGCCAGATTCATGTAAGAGCTTGGCAGCTGATAGACCTTTAAAAAGATGATGTATGGTTCAGGTTACAGTGGGGGTATGGATTACAGAAACAATGTACTTTTAATATAGAGTACATGTATATATTACAGGATCTATGTACTTTAATAGCATGGCATATTCTATTTTGGGAATGCCTTGGTATTTGATCCCCTTCAGAGAGTTGACAATTAAAATTTCAACAAATTTGTCATTTTACCTTTCACTTTGAAAATTTTTCTGGGATATCAACAGAAATCTGATTATTTCTGAAGAAACAAGACAACAATTGATTTCTTTGAGCCATTAGACTGATAAATCATTTTTTCAATAAATAAAAAATGACTTCTGCACAAGACAGTTTGGGTAAGAATGAAATGAAATTAAATGAAATGGAGAAAAATTTAGTTACATTCCTCTCTTTGATACCAAATTTTTGTTTTGTTACACTGTACAATGTACAAATTCACTGCAAAAAAATCTTTAAAAGCGTGCCTACATGTACATGTACATGATAATTAGAATACGTTTCTAAGATTTATGTCTCGTTTTGTTCTAGCTTGTGAGAAAATAAACACCTTTGACTCAGAAATGTTACATATATATTGCTACCAGTATGCTGTTCAAGTCTCATAATACGATATACATATCGCCTCAGGTGTTTGGACTGTTTTGAAGGTACAGAGTTTGGGTAATTTTACTAATGCCCGAACAAAATGATGTGTATTATTTGTTTTATAAAATGATGCTTTATAACATGATGTGTTAATGAATTTTCATTAGTATTTACCAATGAATTGTCATTACTAAAATGATGTGCTAGGCAAAATATATCATTTAATAGGATCCGCTTCATTATCTCATAATAATAAATAACAGCATTGATATACATGTGGCTCTTAATACAAAATGCTGTTTCTAAGTGCTTTATAGAAATTATTACCCTGGTCGTTAGAATCACTTAATAAAGAGAAGGTTGAGTTCTGGGAAGAGGTGAAAAATAATTTGTGAGCGTTATCATGTATGCAAGTGTGGAAGTGTGGAAGAACATCAGATAAGACATGTTCCCTGAAAAGCATGGCTCTTCAAATGCCTTCATACTGTATTCCAAATATGTAAATAACATCGTAAAACTCGGGGGGGGGGGGTAGGATTTTTACGCCACGTGTTTGTGTAGTCCCATATACATCTTTCTGTGTACAGTGTTTGTAACTTTTCCAAGACTTGGCCAAACTTCTGATCATTTTGATCATTCCAGAACTTTGTAATACACACAAATTCTTATATGCTTGATGATCAATCTTTTCTGATCGATTCCACACCGTTTCTTTCACAATGCAATCGCATGACCAGAACTCAACTTCATCTTTATTAAGCACATTTGTGTACCATTAGTGGGGAGTTCTCCTACCACCTGGTTACAGTGAGGGCATATGGCAATTACTAATTGATTTAGATTGTATAATATGATAATCGTATAATTCCTTGTAACTAAATTATGAATTATATAAATAATACCTTTTGTTATGCAAATAAAAATAACATGTACAGTACACTTGTATAATGCTTTTGTATACTTTGTAAAATGGTGTTTGTAATTTATGTACATGTATTTATTGTACATAATTTGTGTTTTTCTTGTTGAAAATAGAAATAAAACTTGAACTTGAACACAAGTGCTTTCTTCATACTTCCAGGTCCCCATTTCTCTCCTGGATATGAAGTGGCAAATGTAGATCAATGCCTTGCAAAAGGACATTAGTGCCGTGTCAGGGATTGAATCCACGACCATTGCCTTACGAGTCAAGTGTTTAAACCAATCAACTAAAACTAAAGAGTAAAGACACCTTGACACCACATGCAGTTTAGGTATTTACTTGACTGCATGTCACTGAAAGTTAAATCATGGCTCATTGCATTTAAACTGCATTTATTCTACACTTGTCTCTCTCACCCCAGGGGGGTGTTTCACAAAGATCCTAAGTTGAACTTATCTTTAAGTTGGACTTAAAAGTTATGGAAAGCTGTTGGCATCTTTGGAAATAATTTGTAAAAGTTATTTAAAAAAGCATAAAATGTTGATTCAAATCATTCATATTTTCTATTTTAAAGGAGATTTCATGTTATTGATGTGGAATTTATAAAAAGTCTAAAATACTTGATTTTTTGCTTTTGAATATATTTCATTTTAAAGCTACAAAATGGCTCTCCATAATATTTAAGTCCAACTTGGAGTGAAGTTTGACCTAGGATCTTTGTGAAACAACCCCCTGGAGTAGTAAATGGAGTACTGGCAGGACACATTCCTTGTCACACTCTATACTACTTGCAGGACCATTCACCCAGGGTGATAATCTCAGGTGTGGAAAAATATTGTTTTTAAAGGTTATGTCATATCCCCAAAGCGACTGCTCCATATGTACGTGTACATCTATCATTATTTACAAATGTATATCACCTTAACTACAAAAATGGAGGAAAAAAAATGATTCAAACTAATTACTTCTTGAAGGCTTTCAAAAGTTTGAAAAGGGGTAATAACCCATGGACTACTCAGTTCTTATATTCCTCATAGGATCAACACAGGATCCACTCAGTTCCGGTAGGCAACGGGTTTAAGATAGAAGGCAATGTCTTACCGCTGATCCCAGCTCCTACAATAATGACATCCCTGACTCTCTCAGAACCCATCTGGAGTTCTCATCAATCTCTCACCGCGAAAAATATCAGGTGCTGCTAGCTAGAAAGGGAAGATATGAGAAGAAAAAACACAATCTCAGCCGTGTGAAATCAGCATTACATTCTAACCCCTACCAACTGTTCAGACAGGAATATCTAGACATTCCATACATGTACACGCATAAGGTATGTACTCTGCATTTACAAACGACAGGGATGCCAGTTAGAATTGATCAGAGGGCCTGACAATCACCTAGAATGAGTTATTTTGTACACAAAACAGCCTAAATTATGGTCTGAAAATAACTCCCCAGGGCCTGAATTCAGGCTAATGCCTGAAAACTGGCATCCTGAAATGATTGTGATTGATTTATCATTCATGTTTACTGCACTTTAACTATATGGCAGATCAGCAGTTCGTTTGGTTTGGTTTTTGATCAATCATACTGTACAAGTATAAACTCATAGCAAACCCAAGGTTTGAATATTAATTCATTAACCTTCACATACATACTGTATGAGCCAATACAGCCCATACTTTGGGAACGAATGAGAGTCTGGGCTGGTATTCAATTCAATACTTAGCATAAGTAAGAAATTTACTAAGTAAATTGGCAAAGTCAAGTAATTGACTTATCTCGTATTCAAATCGCATTTAAGACTTACAATTATGTAAGACAAAATCTAAGTATAATACTAGCTAATAAGCATTGTGACATTACACGGTCAATCAAAAGTAATGCGCAATCAAAGCGTTGCAATAAATGCGCGCTGATATAATTGTGTGCAGGTTATAATACTGCGTAAGAAAACCATATACCTGCCAATCAAGGCCTCCAAGTCTGGTAGGGAGCTGACTTAAATTTAGGGTAAAATTATACTTGGCCAAAAGACTGAATTGAATACAAAAATAGGCTAAGTATTAAACCAAGTACTACATGTACATGTACATGTAAGTAAAAAGCGTAAATTTTGTACTTAAGTATTGAATTGAATACCGGCCCTGGAGTATTAGAGGAGTATAAGGGGAGTATTAGAGGAGTATAAGGGGCGTATCATGTGAGAGGAATGAATAACAAACAAATCTGAGTAATTACACATGCATGTACACACAATGGTGCACTTCCCTCATAAACATGTTCCTTCATAAGTTCATACATTTTACAAGTCCCCCCCCCCCCCCCCCCCCCCCCCCCCCATTCATTTTGGTATTGATCAAAATGACTTGTTCAAAAGAGGTACATGTGGCAGCTTCTCATAAAAGTTATATGATTCATGAATTATACCTATAAAAGTAACAGTTAGGTCATAAATTTACAAAGCCCCATTGTCAAGCAGCTCAATAGCCTTGAGATATGGTTCTACGTGTACATGTATGTCTCTATTATTAAGTGATGACATTCTAATTTGTAATAATTTTGGTATTTCGTGTTCTTAAATACCAATTTTGCTCAACAATCTTATTCATCAAGATATCAAGGAAATCCTCGACGAAGATTTGACAAGAAATTTTCACCAAATGTGACATCAGGCAACAATGACCTCACTGAGCTC